GATATATTTTATTAGAAATAATTCAAACAATTATTTGGTTAGTTAACAATCATTTTTTTTTTCTTTTATTATATGAAGAAAATGAAAAATAGATTTGTGATTAATAATGATGACGATTATCATTCCTAAATTAAATCTAATAATTATCTTGAGAAATATAATAAAATCTCCCAATTAAATAAATTGAAAAAATCTGTTCGAAGAACGTTGATAAATTTAGAAAATAATCGTTGTTAATAGAATGGATTTCATCCGTTTATAATCATATGTCGACAATAATTGACCAACTCTAATTAACTCGATGTAGAATTCCTAAATTAAGTTAAACATTGTTTAGAACACAATATATTTAACATGAATTTTAGTTTCGGTTAACGTCACCGAAATCAAATTAACGTTTAAATAGATAAACATTAAAAAAATCATATTTTGTCTTATAGTAAGGATAAGAAATAAAAGAAAAATATTTGTCAAATCGATTTATAAAAAAAATCCATTTAAAAATTTGTTTAGATTTACTCGGAATATATTTTCAAATAATGTTCTCTTTTATCTTAACAACATTTTTTATATATCAATATTAGTTTTCACATTTTCAATTAAATTTAATGAAAAAAAAAATATTTTCTTTTTTTAGGGTTTAAAAACATTTGTTGATGATGATAATGATAAATATTTATTTCCAATAAATGGAAAATTAGAAGTATCAAATGAAGAAAGAACTATTTTACCAAATCTAATCGGTCAATCTCAAAATTATAATCAGAAATATTTCGTTAATAACCAAAAAAATTTTGATAATTTAACAAAATTAAATAAAAGAATAAATTATTTTAATCAACAAGTTTGTTTTTATTTCTATCTATAGTTAATATATAATATTATAATTATTAACAAAACAAGATTATCTTTTTCCATCAATTGACAATTATTCTATTCATACATTAAAACGAATGCTTTTACCAAATGATAATCATTATAATAAGTTATTTACTTATTTATTTATATTTAAATGAAATAAATTTTAAAAAAAATTTCTTTAGAGAAACTGATTCAAATGATGATAAACAAAATGAGAATTTGTCAACAATCTCAATTGATTATGAACAAGATTTATAAAAAAAAAAATCAAATTTGTTATTCTTTGTTTTTTTTTGTTTTTCATAGAATTGATTGAAAGTTTTTTCAAAAAGAAATCTTTTTATTGTTGATGGAGTTCTTTTTGTGCACTCAAAATGTTCATAGACTCGAAAATCGATCAGTGTGTCCGTCTGCCTGTTTACACGATAACTCTTCAAAGACTCATCCGATTACGATCAAATTTTCTACACAGTTTAGTCTCAACAATGTCTCGGTCGAGAGAAGAAGATGAGAAGGATTGACCGAGCCATTGATCAGTTATTGGAAAAATAGTCATTTTTCCCTATGCTTACCTATGAGAAGATAGATCCTTCTCTCTTTTCATAAGAAACTTTTCCTTGAATAGTCAAATAAAAGCCCAACTATTATATACCATTCGATAGAGAATTTCACGAACTACAAAATGGTATACAAAACATAAGGAAACAAGAAAGTTAACTCACCTATTGGAAAGATAGTTAAACGGAATTTAGTTCTGTGTTCGTCCACGCTCTAATTGATCCATAAATAGAGCTCTATCGTTTCGATCACAAAGATGATAGTTCGAGGTTTTCTGGGGTGGAGTACTCGAATCTGTGCTCCATTCGCCTCGAAATCCCATTGATTGAGCAGTAACCAATAGAAATGAAGTGTTTATAGGAAAGGTTTGCCAGAACAATTTTGATGTCCAGACATTCTCGGATGACTGATCTGTCTGATTGACTTTTCTTCAGTACACATAATTCTCGGATTTAAATCCGAGGTTTCCACATTTATTTTTCTTTAAGAATCCGTTATATCAATGTTCAACTATATTTATTTAGTTAGGTTTTATAGAAAATATTTTCCAGAACTAGATTAAATCATAGCTGATCAACTCTGAAATCTTCGATATTTAATTATTTTATTTAAATAAGGTGCGTAGAACGTCTATAAATTATTTTGACCTCTAAAAGAAAAAGAAAAGAATTTCTAATTAAAATAGAAAAGATTTTTTCTCATATTCAATATAAAAAGTAAAGAGATTGAAAGAGTTATGTTCGACCTTTTTCAACTTGTCTCTATAAATATTATCGAATACCTTTCGGAAATCGATCATCTAAGACAACGTTAAAGTTTCTATATACGTTTACAAAAAAGTAACACTGATTATTAACAAATCTAGAAAATTCTCCCAACAAATATTTGACTCCTTATGGCAACTGATACACTTAATGCTATACTAGTAAGACTCTCTTACTTAATATAATAGAAAGTGTTAAATGTCGTATTGATAGGATTCTAATCATAGATTTAAAATTAAAAAGAAGAATAATACAGTTCGAATGTAAACATAGTCTAATCTGCTCTTTATGAATAAGACTCGAAATATTGAACTGGACATAATGATGGAATTGTGCAAACGTATTTTTGGTGTTGACATATTGATCAATCGACCATTATTTGGTATAATCTCGGAATTGAAATAAAGTCGATTTGACGTCAATGATTTGACAGAAACGATCGAATCATATATAAATATGTTTTGAATATCCTATGAGAGATTGCAAACAAATAAATCGAATACTATTTAGTTGTAAAGCATAGATTTTATTCGTGTCAATTCGAAACTAATTATTAAAAAAAAAGTTTAATATAATTATTGATTAGATCAATTGTAATGTATTATAGAGTCTATAAGACAATGAACTTTTTTAAGGAAATATTTAGCTAGGGAACACTTATTAGAATTAAAATTAAAATATTCAAAAAAAAAAATCTATATTAATATTTGATTATAGAAGAATGAAAAATCTAATAACCGGTTAGATATTGTAAAGGTATTTGTTTGATAAGATAATCTCTACAATATATTGTTAATAATGTTTTCATATAGTTTTATTTTATTATCTTAATATAGATTAGATTTAAATATACCTCTAATATATAATTTGAGTTTTTATTCTCAAGATTAACGTTCGATTAAATCTTGTTAAATTGTTTCATCTCGATGATTTGAAGTCAGTCGTATAGATAAATAATATTTTATTTGTGATAATACTAATCTTATTATCTCATATATTTAAATGAGATAAACTATATTCGTTTTGTTGACATTAACGTCAAATAATATATTTATTGTTAGATAGTCTTGTCTGATGATGATAGTAGACGTTATTGTTCAGTTTGACGAAGCTGTTCAAGCTAGACTGTCCCATATGATCATCACCTAATAAATTGTATCAGATTGAAAAATTAATCGATGATTGTTGTTCTTGTTGAGGTTTTAAATAAAATAATTGATCAGTTCGTTTCTTTAAACGGATTTTTATATTAAAATAATCGATTAA